GCTTCAGCCATGCTTCCTACTAAAAATTGTTAGTAGGTATCATTGTATCACCCTCCTGAGAGAGAATACAGACATCCAATTACTCACAAACCAGGAAGAGCATATACTCTCCTTAAACTCATAAACATTACTCTGCTTCACACATGACTTACGGAGATCAAGGATGACAAGTGAATTTAATTTCTCTCACTATTGATTCCTTCACATCTTTAATAAAGGACACTAGCTAGAGGACCTAGTAGTGGGAAAAAAAAAAAAAAAAGAAAAAAAAAAAAGAGTGAATTTTGCTGTGTGGATAACTCCCTATTTAGAAATAGCTTGAAAATCATCGACGTATTTTACTTTGTGAAAAGTAAAACGTACACATTCCTGAGCAATATATCACATTACAATAACTTTTGACAGAACCATCCTTTTCCTCTTGGTCACTGATTTAAAGTCAATTTAGGATTGATCACCATCAAGAGTCACTGTCTTTTGAAGGATACTCAGAGACCTAATTATTCAGAGAGATTATTTTCTTACTGTGTAAGGGAGTGGGAAGGAACTAGAATTATCAGACATATTTAATCTTCTTCCAGCCCTTAAAAACACAAAGTACTCAGAGGAAAGACAGCTAATGGCAGACAGATGTTCATGTTGCCATAATACCTGGTGTAAAGTTACTTGTACAGTCTTATCCTCTGCAGTTCTGGCTCACTAATATCTCTATCTTGTCTTTCTTCCATGCAGGGATCGTCAGTGGAAATTCATTGTCTGCAGGATGACAGAGTATGACTGCCCATTTCAAAATGTTTAAAAAGATCAAGTGTACTCAACTTGGAAAGCTTGGGGACAGATAGGGTGGGATGAGGGTCAGTGATTATGGGAGAAGGGCAATTAGGCTCACAAAAAAAGTGCCAAGACAGCTGTCTACTGAAGATTCAATTCTTTCCCTCTGGAGCTATTTAAACAATTGTCAGACCAAGTTCTTGCAACAGCAGTTTTGGAGGATTCCTTCAAGCTGCACTGGCAGTTGTATCCCCCAAACAAAATTACTTATGACATACACGTTTATGGTACACAAGTCTATGGCATATGCAGTTACCTTTTTTATATACACATATAGCCATTCTGAACACATACAATTTTCTTTCACATAGCAACTTTGTATAAATTGCTTCCCAGCACAGTCACTCCGAATGAAGTGGAAATATACTATAAGCTTTCCAACATCCACTAGACTTTCTTGTCTTCTACTTTGTACTTGGAACCAACCCAGTGATCTCTACCAGCTTCTCAGCGTGTAGTGGCTGAAAGTGTGCCGAAAGCAGCATCAGGAGGTCTCTCACATACTGCATCTGGGGTTACCTGTTAGAGCCCTCAGCATAATTCCATTGCTACAAAGGTCTGCCTGCACAGGGGAATTCCAGGTATTTAAAGCACTGGAAGATGTCAATACCTGATTAAAATTAGAGTAGGTCCATTAATAAAAACAGAAGCCTAACCCAGCTTTACTGACAGACTCTTTTATGTTGTCTTAAAAGTCTCTAATGACACAACTAGCCAGGAGCTCTGCTCTGGGCAAACCCAGGAGTAGGTCAGGCCACTCACACTCTCAGTAAATACATATATTGCACTTGTCAGGAGTTTACTTTTCAGGTGGACTGGGTTTTCACTGTGGGTGCTTGTACAATATCCACCTGCCCCTGGTAAGGTATTCTTGGCTTAGAGCACTGATTAAAAAAAGAAACAGCAAACCCGTAGCCGTGTTGAAATAAGACAAATAAAGCTAACAGCTTAGGCGACCTCAGTTCCTCCAACCTGCAGATCTCATTCCCTGTAAAGGATAAGCTGACCATGTTTCAAGACTGCACAGCACTTGTGCAGATGTAATTCAATGAGAAAGACTACTGATGTCTTCCAGGAAGATTGGAGGTAGGATTTTTGCTCTTGAACAAACCAGAATTTAGGGCTCAGTTTCTTAGCTGATGAAGTCAATGGTAAACCTAGCAGTGGCTTCAGCAGAGCTGACTCAAGGGCCGTGATGACCCCATGTACCATTTTAAGGTTGTAAAGTTTCATAGGAAATGGTGGTGTCAGCCAGTCGGTTTCCACGTTCCAAGCCTTTTTAACATACTTACTAGCATACCTTCAAGTGTGAGCATTAGAACTACACTTGTCCAATAAAAGAATAGTAGATTTTGCATTGCTGTAGCTCTGTTCTTTCTTCATTTTACTGACATTAGCTTATTAATCTGCACACAAAGAAACCCTCTGTCATTCTCAGAGACCATGATGGTGGTTAGGGAGCTTCTGTGAGAGCGAGTTGCCAAGACATGTAAGTAACAGTGGGAAAGAGAAATCAAGAGGCCTAAGGAAGCTGGAGAAGCTTGTTAGTTGACACTGGTAGACAGGCAAAGGAAGCCAAGAGGCACTCACACCAGGAAGTTAATGGGAAAGGCCAGGAACTATAATTATGCACAGAAGGATCATTTCTGGGAACACCTGCTCTAGATGGACACCCATCTTGACTACTTAGGCTGCTCTCAATTCTGTGTGCATACCATGGGCTCATGGAGGCTTCTGAGGGGACAGTTGAAGATCAGTTTAAGCTGATTTAGTTCCCCAGTGGCATGGAAAGGAGCAGTTCTGCTTTCTTGTCCACTGGAGCTGCAGTGTCATATTGTCCTATATGTCACCTTTCTCCCTCATCCCTATCCCAGTCACTTCCTTCCACCCATGCTCTATTCCCAGCTCCACCCTAGCAGTGCATCTGTGTAGGATCCATTTCACAGGACTCCTCTTCAGAAAGTTAAGTAATTCTCAGATGAGGAAAGGCGTGGGTGGGAAACAGAATGTATCTTGGGGGAAGGCAGAAATGGGATGTGGACCAAAAAAAACCCTAAAAGCAGAACTGAGGCAGAGAAAGAGCAAAGGGCAGCTAGTTAGCAAAGCTAGGAACTGAACTTAGTTTTTATCTAAGATGCAATGTCCACTTCTAACGTTTAGGTAATCTTTGCGCATGGGAAGACATTGCTCCAAAGCTGATAAGGCTCCAGCCCAAATTCCTCAGCACAGAGCAAGGCGATGACAAGCCTGCCTTGCAAAAGTTTGCTGGCTTCAAAGCCTGATCAAGCCTGCTTTGACTTTCCTGAAGCCATTCTGCAAAGAAAGCCTTTCTAGGACAACTTACCAAACCTGAACCACTTTTCATTCGTGGTAACACAAACCAGATGCTATTTCAGGGAAACAAATAGAGTCGTGCTTATTCAGACCAAGTGCAACTGAGAGCAGATGCCCAGTATGGGGAGCCCACAGCACTTCTTCATTCTCATGTGTTCCATGGCATAGAAGCACCCCGCCTACACTTGTACTACATGGAGTAAAAGTCACCCCTGATCTGAAATCCAACACAGAGACTATGCATTACTCAAGTTCCATATAGGCCTAACATTTTAAATAAACTCTTATTTTTTAATAAATGTCAGAAAATAAAGTTTGTTTATTTATTTACTAAATATCAACAATATGGATTGAATTCAAACATCTGAGAGAAAAGCACCGTTCTGTAAATGCTGAGCATTGCCCCAGCCAGGCTACAAGGGCTGCAGATGGCATACTGTCAGCATTGTCAGTGATTTTTTTTAGACAAACTAGGGCATGGTGATCTTTGCATTCACAAAAGGAAATGCAGAAAACTTTAAAAAAAAAAAAACCACAAGGAGAACCTTTAGAGCTTTTCTAACTGTAAATAAAAAAGGTGAATAAGGAAAAGTGGGATGGGCTGGCTGGGGAGGAGAAATAGCAATGCTGACTCCCTTTGTGGTTCTCCTTTAATCTGAAACTCAGTGGAGGCTGGTCCTACGTCAAACCCACATCCTCCATTTGATCCATTCCTCTTGAAGAGAGGTTTGAGTAAGAGAACAGCATAAGTAATTGGGTAAAACACAGAAAATTCTATTAACCCCCAAAAAAGAGGAGGGTTTGACTGCTCTTCCTCCCAAATCTCAAACTTGAAAACCATGGGACTTTTGTAGGAAAAAAGAGAGCTCTATTTTTTTTCATATATGCCGATTTCTCAGTTCACAGAATATGTAAGCACTTCCAACATTTTTCAACATTTTCCACTTTCAGCATTTTTCAAGTGCTTCAGATAGTATTTATCAATTACTTCTCAACAATGCTGTGCCCAGAAATGTATTTTTAAGTTAAGTCTGAGATTCTTGTTTAATCACTTGACAATGAGAGCTGGGATTAGTTTTACAAGACATCAAATACTATGAGACTAATGATAAATACATCAGACTTAGCAACACAGCACTGATTAAAAAAAGAAACAGCAAACCCATAGTCATGTAGAAATAAGGCATATTTCCTGTAAAATCAAGAGAGACCTTTCAACCTTTTCCATTCCAGTGTTCAGGACTCTGCTCTATGAGATAAACCTGTCAGAAAGTCATGGCATCACCTAAGCAGAGAGATGCCAACATAGTAGAAGGGAAAACAGCCTGTGGATGAAGCAGAAGACCTGGCAGAAGACCAGTTGGCTCTTAGGAAAACTTACTTAGACTTGACCCTTGATTCACAGCCATTGAATCCTTTTCTGGTTTGAAACTTTATTTCAAGCCCATGTTTATCACACCAGCAACATGTTACTGTACTGGCCTGCATCTTTAAGGTTACAGTAGTTTGCAAACAGAGAGTATCAACATCACTGGTAGTGACACTTTGTGTCAGAGTTGATGGCGTGAACCGTAGGCAGAAGGAGTTCTGCTAATAACACATTATCAAACATAAAACATTGCTTGTGCCTAGATTTACTTTTCAAGACATAGTAGTTATACAGCTACCTTATTCCTCACTATTTCAGGATACTGGTATGTGCATAGCTGACGCTCTGCATAGGAATCTGGACCTATGCACTGAGAAGTTTAGAAAAGGCTGCAGGGTTGCCCACATGCTGAAAATAAAAGACATGCACAAGTGGTGTGGGTCAGTGTCAGCAGGCGTGGCTCTGTCTTTCTGAGCTCCATACCTCAAATGCATTGATTTCACTCTTATCCAGCTTGTGAACTTTGGCCAAAATCAATGGAGTTCAGTCTTAAGAAAGATTCAAGCATCTAAATACTTTTCAGGATCTGAGCTTACCTGGTCCATCTCTACAAGGAAGACTGGAAAAACTGGACCTTGAGTTAGAGGAAATCAATCAAAGAGTGTACCAAGATACACAGATACACAGGGACAGACAAGGCACTGCATATTCTGTTCATAACTTCTCAGACATAAAAGCCCTGAATTGGTGGGGCAGCTGGGCTACATGATTGTTATAGGTCCATTCCAACTGAAATAGTCTAGTCTAGTCTGTTCTACTTAAAAAATCAAACTGACCTAGCCTCATGAAGACCAGGACACACTCTGCCTTAGGTTAACTTTAAATCATTTAAGAAGAATAAAGAGAAGTTTTGCTGAGCTTAGCGTTAAAGCCATGTCAATAGGATAAATCCCAGTATGTTAAAAAAAAAGGCAAAGCTACATTTTTGCAGGATGTGAGCTTTAGTTTACATGCAGGATCAAATTCTCCAGGCCTTGCCTGAACCAGACAAGTCACCACACTGCAGAACCTAGCTCTAAAAAGTTTAGCCCAAATTGTGGAGAACACAGAAGACACAGGTGCACAAGAGATGGTTCTATCTGAGAGAAAACTGAGGGGAATGACAAGAACCGAAGCAAAAATAGCGGAAGAGAAACATGAAACCACCTGAAGAATATGCCATTATGTAATTTCTTAAAATAAATCTGTGCTCCTCTATCTTAGGA